CTGTCATGAAGCTGTCATGAAGCTGCCATGAAGCTGTCATGAAGCTGTCATGAAGCTGTCATGAAGCTGCCAGCTTCATGTCATGATACTGACAAACGACCACAGACTGATACCTGGTGAACATGATCATGTTCCTCAGTCGAGTCAGGTCCAAAGTTCAGAGTTTTAAATGAGTGAAATAAGGATCAGAACCTTCTATTTTACATAAATAACTCCCAACATGTTTGACTACATGTTACCTTAAGATTAGCTGTTTTGGTTGTATTTGATCCACTGGAACAACATGTGGTTTTTAAAACTATTTCATTGTTATTTTATATATTTAACTGTTAATTTATGGTAATAGTGGTTCTATTATTATTGTTGCATTGAAAGGTAGTATATACTCGTAGTGTTCAGCCACAAACAACAAATGTAATGTTCATTGGAGTTCATAGAAGGACATTTTTAGTGAGCGATAAATGATGGTTGAGAGGACAAATGAGAGGACATGTCTTCTTGTCCTTCAGCTGCTTGAGACACATGGCTGCATAATATGGTTCTGGTGGAGGTTTTCTTTCCTTCCAGTATCCCCCATCAACTGCTCAGGTGAAAATCTAACATAGCTTGCTGGTTTTCGTAGATAGGCAGCTTCTTACTCCTTTTTATTTTAACTGTAATGAAGTTTCACTGTATTTGTGTAAGAATCTAACGTTGACAGCGTCTGTGATGAAGGCTTCATACACTCCTGTGATCTTTTGGCCCTCCTCTTCCTCAAACTGCAGGTTGTGGGATTTTTGTGTCATAAAAAATCACCGAAAGAATTTTAAAGGTACTCACGGCAAATTATAAAATCAAATGTACAAATATTTATCCTAACCTTTATGAAACGGTGCATTTTAAGAGAGTTTCATCCAGTAGTTCTCCAGATGCATTTACTTAATGTGAGCCCGGGACTTGAGCAAACTCTCAAACACCACATGTCACGTGTCACGTGTCACGTGATCGCACCACGTCAGGCTGGCTGCGCTCTGTGCAGGCAGTGGACTCGCACACCGCTCTCTCTGAGTCACGTCTAGGTGAAATACTGCACGCGACTCTGGTGCACTTTTTGAGTAAAACTACCACAAGAGTAAATATTGGAGACGGAGCAGGACAGTGAAGCACCTTGAAGCTTCAGCTCAGCATTAAACACACGTGGCTCTTGAAAAACTTCTTGTGTACTGGAGAGTTTGCACTTTGAAACTAACTCTTCCTTTTAACTGGACACTTTACAAACCTGAGTGTAGACATGTTCAGTACATCAAACAGATTGAACTCCATCCTAAATCTTCTGTGGACAGTCCCATTTTAATCAGTTTATTTCTACAGCACCAAGTCCCACAGAAGCCATCTCAGGGCGCTGAGCAGAAACATTCTCATGCTCAAACATCTGTTAAGAGGAGAGCGCCCTGCTAAGGCAAGCGACCGAGGGGGACGGTACAGTGCTCCCTCGCTACTTCGAGGTTCATTGCTCACAGACTGGCTCTGTCGCGGTTTTTCAAAGTAAGATGGGACACGACACACAACTGACTGATGGGTGGATGAGCCGCATGGAGTTTTTATTTAAAATTAAAAATAAAAGCTGCAACTTACTGCTTGTACTACTATTCCTACTTTGTGGTTTTTCACTTGTCGCGGGGCTTCAGGGTGCGGATCCCCGCGACAAACGAGGGGCTGTGTTGTAAAAGGACAGTGTTGTATTTGGTCAGGCCTTCAAAACACCATTATTTTGAAGTTACTGCGTAACAACAACTTCACTTGTGTGATATTCAGGGTCGTGCTCAGATTGTGTGTTGGTGGGAACAGCACTCAGAACCATCAGATATTACCTCAATATCTTTAAAACGGACTGAGCCACTTTTGTGGTGGCTAGTGTCAGTTGGCTGCAGCGGCCATCTTGATCTGCACTGACTCTAATGCTGTCGATGATTGCGTTCTGGAAGTTTTATTAAAACTTGTCCAGGTGTTCATGTAATATTTTACTAACAGACACACACACAGAGCTACGGGCAAAGCATTCATTGTTCAGTCCTCACTTCTCGGCAGTGGATGATGCAAACAACGCAGAGTGGTTCAGAAGGTTTATTGCTTTTACCTTTTCCTGTTTGTCCATCAGGGTAACAAAGGTGGTGTGTCTGTTCGTCTGTCTTTTTATGGACACATGCTCTGCTTCCTCAACTGCCACTTGGCCGCTCATATGAACTACGCCACAGAAAGAGTGGATGAGTTCGAGAACATCGTGGACACACAGACGTTTGATTGTATGAAGGCTCCAAGAATAAGAGACCACAGGTAAGAGTGCACAAATGGCAGCCTGAAGCAACTGCTCTGTGTAAAGGTCATTCAGTGCTGACTCAATCCCTGGATTAAACCGTTAACTGAGAATATCCTGATGCATGCTAAATAATCCAGGTAGAAAAATTTAAAAAAGTTAAGTCTGGTCCGCTGGCCTGTCCACTGTCTGATCAGGTTGGCATGCCGCAGACTGATGAAGTCTTCTGGATGGAAGCTGATACGTTTCTCCCTTAAAGAAACTGGTCCAGATGAAATGATTTACCGGAACCTTTTTTGTTGTTAAGTACCTGGATGAGTGAGCGTAGAAAACCTGATATTCCAGGATGTTCTTCCTGGACCACAGTTTGAGTTTCAGTACAATCCACCCAGGTGAACTGATAGAGATGCTGGCGGACCTTGGCACCTCGACTCCCACATGTGACTAGATCCTGGACTTCCTGACAGACAGACCACAGGTGGTGAGGCGGGTGTCTGCCGAGCTCACGGTCAGGACAGGATTCCCACAGGTCTGTTGCCTCAGCCCAAAAGTCTTGACCCTGTTCCCCTATCGCAGTCCTTCTCAAATAGTGGGGCACACCCCCCTGGGGGGACCCCGAGCAACTCCTCCTCAGCTGGAGACTCCTCCTCAGATGGAGACTCCTCCTCAGCTGGAGACTCTTCCTCAGCTGGAGACTCCTCCTCAGGTGGAGACTCCTCCTCAGGTGGAGACGCCTCCTCAGCTGGAGACTCCTCCTCAGGTGGAGACTCCTCCTCAGCT